ATGCATGGAGGAAGATGGATATGTGTAGTGACCTATAAAAGGGCCTGAGTGGCCTCGTTATGTTTTACAGATACCCCTCTCTTTCCGTGCTCCTAAAGATACTGGAGAATGAAGTCACGACCTATCTACATCTGCCGCTATTCCGTACCGTATCTGATTTCGTGTGAAACAAGCGCCTCTAGATGTACCTCCCTCGAGCAGCCCTTGAAGGAAGAATTGTAGAAGCATGTATTCTTGGTAAAGGTGGTTGAGCACTTGCTGCATTCATCGGAGGTGTGATTGTCTACGATTTCGGATCGTGAGCGAAAGGCAGGATATTACCCTAATTTTGCTATATATGGATGAGTAGTCCTGGTCAAAACTATTGTGTTTCTCTTTCTTTTTTTCTTTCTTGTCTTGGAAAGCAGGTTTTTGGTGCGTTTCTCCCACATTTTCCATAGGTGGAAATTTTAGATTACCTAATGCATGGTCTGTCCCCAGAGATCTTTCGGTATGATATCTGCGACAGAGCCCAATTACGGGCAGTGAGGGCTAGCTTCGTCCTATTAGGTGCGATTCCATGTATACTGATAACTGCTTCTAAAGTATGCTGGTACTGCGAATACCTCTTCGGGTTGCTAGAGTTATTGTATTGAACCTATTCGTGGCCGCTACTTGTAGATCATAAGCACCATTGCGCCAAGAAGTATCATATTTCCGGCAACTACCCCCCATACCCCCCCCCCGGGCACTCGCGCTGCACGATGTTGGGTTTGGGTGCTCGGGTGATTTTTGCCCGGGGTCATTACCGGATGTGATCTACGATACTGCCTGTAGTCAGCCCGTCCAATCAGGTCCCTTTCCCCCTTCCGCCCTACCCGAGTACCCCCGGTACGGGTAAACCCTTTCCCCGTAGAAACAACGAGGCATCCCTAGCCTGCCTTGTTAGCAGTGGATACAGGTAGCTATCTTCATATGCATTGGGGGTTGTGTATAAGGGTTTGAGTGTGGTGCAGGCAAGCTTGGCATGTACGTATTTCACCTTAAGTAGCTGGGCCGTAGCTAGGAAATACATCAAGTCATTCCATCCACCAACACACACACCTACATGCCTGACGGAAAGAAATATCATAGAAAAAGGGGAAAAAAGAGCAAAACAACCAACCAACGAATATCGACCCGGTCTTCTTTCAAGTCCTCCTGGCTGCTGATCTGGCGATTATAGTAGTAGTGGCCTCGCCCGGGACGGCATAACCCAAAATATGCATGGGAGACGAGAAGGGTCAAGTAAATCATTTCCACCCTCTCACCATCTCCAGCTACCACTGCCAGTATCATACTTTGCATACTATACTAGGTTGAGCGCTCGCGGTGCTCGGTATGTAGGGAGGTCAAGAATGCTTTAACCTTGCTCACATTCTTCTTTACGTCCCCTCCTCTACCCTTACTGTTTTACTACACGTTTCAAGAGCGATGTTAGGCGATCAAACCGTTGAAAGATGCCGTAAGTTAAGTGTTGGGGTTCTCCGGGCGAGGCGTGAGGATGCGAAAGAAGAAAAAAATGAAAAGATGAGCGTGAAGGCACGAGCGAACGGTGGGAAAAGGGAGGGGTTTGAACTCGGGGGCATCTACCGATAGAGCCTGATCAACTTAAGCGCAAGCGTTAACTTTAGGTGTGATAGACTATGATGAATGATGTCGAACATTATGGAAGTTACGTGAACCTGGGCACAAGATATCATATTCTTTGATGCCACATGTTCCGAGAATATATTTGTTAAAGGTTCGTACTCCATTGGTTAGTTTTCTTTGCATATGTAACATTTCGTTTTGGGGTAGAGCGGGTATAGATTGTCTATTTCACGCCCGATCAGAATATTTGCCTATATGCGGAAGAGATTTCCCTTGGCCTTAGTTCTTTAGTGGAGCTTGAGATGCGTACGCTAAGTCGCTCATATCGCCGCCATCTTTAACATCACACGTCTATTGACACAGAGGACCGAAAGAATGATGCTAATAGCCGAAGGAAGGAGAATAGAAAAACACTAGCCTAGGCTTCACCGAACCCGGCATCCATAGTTGCATAAAGAGCCAATGTCATCTACTGAAGACAGCGCATAAAGTAAGTAGTCATGAGTGAACACTAGAGCAAAAAAATGAATATTCTGCTGATTTAAACCTAGAAAATTTATGATACAATCACCAAAGTCAGTAGCTAGCCCCTCGTCGAATCTGATCGACCGTTCGTAATTACTGCGCTCCGCTGCCGGGATGTGAGCAGCCACATCTTCCCTGACGACACAAGTGACCAACTCCAGATCCCGATCGGAGACCCGGCAAGTGTGAGGAAGGGAACAGGGATCTCACGCTGGCAGAGCGTCAGGGCAGGCAGCAAGGCTGGAAGGAGGTCTGCACAGCAAATCCTTTTGGGGAAAGTCCACAGCTACGGCAGCACATGCCACACAGGTCTTATTTAAGATCTATCGCCGCCGCTGAATGCGGGGGGAGACGCGACGTGCCGGACGGTACTCGACTCGAGAATCGAGCACCCCGCGTACTCATCCGCTAGAAATTATCACTAGGATTAGCACCGCTATGCCGTAGGAACCTAACTTCCTCACATACTGTCAATCGTTCCTCTGCCCCAACCTCACAATATAAATGCAACACCCTTAAATGGGCGAGTCAGCCGAGTGATATCCTATGCCCACATGAGCCCAATAAAGCGCCAACCCATCAAGTACCGTAACCGGTGAGCCCCCCCAACCAGCCAACCACAACCGAATGTAACGAGTAATCACATCCCTCCAGAACCTTCTACCCATCCATTCGGTCCCGGGATCCCGCAATTCATCCATACACACCATCCAGATGGGTGTGTGTGGCACGAATCGAATCTACAGGTACGGTGCATTGTCATGCCCCCCCCAAACATACAAAATTTCCAAGAAGGGTATTTACTGTGTACTGTACTCGAGTATGCAGCGGAACTGTGGGCGCCCGGAAATGGTGAAGATCTGGCCGGGGTGATTTGCCCCATGATTTTCCTTTGTACGCGACAGGCAACTGGACTGGTGGCCGGCGCAAGGGCTAAATAATCCGCACTCTAAGCACACGTTGCACTGGTAACCGTCGCATAATTTTGTCGCCCGTCAGTAGATGGGGGGTGAATTGCTGTGGTGGTTCAATATAATTTATTTATCCTTGTGGTGGTGAATTGTGGGGGGTTCGTTGCGGGACTTTGTGATTGATTGAGGGAGGCGCTGTCTGAGCTGGTAGTTAGGGTACAGTACCGTAGGGCACCGGTAAGAGAACGGCAAATGCGGGTTCTGGTGCAGTGCCAGTACTTATATCATGCTGCACAGTATGGGTACGATAATTGTGTACTTTCTTTCTGTGCTGGAGCATTGAATAGAGTGCCGGTAAATTAACCTAAATTTATTTCCCAAAGGGCCATGATACTTCGCATCATAGCGATCACATGTTCACAATGCGCTTTCAGCACGATTCTCCATTGCTTGGGCTCGATAGGGCACTGGTAGCGACTACGTTGTCGCAACTCTGCCCTTCCGGTACCCTACCCGAGTACACCACGCCCCGACCCAACACCGCACATACTGTACAACAGTATCATACAGTACCGGTACGGCAGCCCAATTCAATCGCATCACCGAGCTGGCTAACCTGTGCGCATAACCTTTCCCCGTCCCCTCCCCACCTTGGCGGGCCCGTGAGACAAAGTCTCAGCTGGCCAACTCTTGAGCTTCAGTAAATATTTACAGAGGTTCAGCTGAGTGAGGATGTGGATTGGCAGGTTCTTGCTGTCCCGATATATCATTTCCCGAAAAAGGGTTCTTGCATGCATGCATGTTTGGTCGTCCGAATAAGGTGGGTTATTCCATTCTTTGAGGGAGATGGGAGTTTGATCTTTTTTGGTGGTCGGCAGGGAGGGGGTGGTCTTGGCGAGTGGTACTGTACGAGTACTGTACTGCTGCGAAGGATCCCAAGTGCAGGTGTTGGTGTTCATCTCAGCGTGAGAGGCTTGAAAGGGTTGCTTTTGTTGATGGCTGATGAGAGCTTTTGTGAAAATTCTCTGAAAGCTCCTCTTCTCGCATTGGGAGCGAGGGTTGTGATGGGATGATGTCAAATCAGGTTTAGTCTAAGTACAGTACAGTACGATACCGGTATCATACCGGTGCTCAAGAATCGTACAAGCAGGGTGCTCCACCGTCGGACCTGTGCTGCTGTTATCGCGACAGTTCTCGAGTACCGTTACCCTACTCGTACATTACAGTATCTTAGCGGATGATTTCTCCGCCTAACGTAATCAGACCGAGGTTATTTACATCCTTGATTGGGTTGGTGTCACGGGGTTTTCCACTTTTTTCACTTTTTCTCCTTCTATTTTAGGACTCGGGGCTGATTGAGCAAAACACGAAAGGTGGAGAGGAGGACCCCCCTTCCTTTTTTCCCTCCCCTTGTGGAGACCCGGTACAAGCCGGTAGACTATCATACCCTACGGTACTCGAGTATGATACTCTACCCTACCTGTATTTGTTTATAGTTAGAATTGCGGCCATCAGCAGCAGAGCTAGTAGACTTCCCTACGTAAAATCTTTCTTGCACAGGGGGAGATGATAATAAATTGATCAAGATCTGCATTCCTCGCCAAGCCGGGAACCGAGGTCTGTGTGCCGTACAAGTACAGCGGGTAGGATGGCGTGGGTTCCGAAGAGCGAGGCAGGGGGGAAGGAAGGGGGTTGTGATGCTTCTCCACCAATCATATTACTTGTATTAATGTTCAGAAGTGTTTGAGCAGACCTCACCATTTTTTTCCGCTTCTGTGGACCGCCTTGCCGGAATAGGAGTTTTCACCTGAAATGAAAAAACTCAGGATAAGAAGTGACACCATGCTGGGGAGGTTGTTGCATTACCGGTGGTTCAGATTCTTCGTAAATTTATCATACTGTACTCGTACGGTACCTCGTTCATATTCATCCTCACCTCCCTACCCCTGTCACCCGGGCCCCTTCCTTCTGCTTCTTTCCTCAACGACCTCTTCCTTTTTAAAAGCCGAGTGAATCCCCCACTTGGGCCTCTCCCCCTCCCCATCGCTCTTTTTTCTCTAAAGTGAAAAGATAAACAACTACTCTTCAACCCCATACTTTGTACCGCTTCTTGCATCCCCCCCCCCACTCTTCCAATCCTAACTGGAAGAAGGAAAAAAAGACAGGACAAAAAAGAAAGAAAAAAAAAAGAGAAAGAAAAAAGGCCGGTTAAGAAAGGTTTCGACAACCCTACGGAACGGTGATTAGCAACAATGGAATCTCTCCTCAATCAGTCCCGGAAGCTCTGCCCCTTCCTCAAGAAGACATCCCCGTCTACTCTTCGTGCGCTCTCTACTAGCTCGAGTGTCAATGGCGTTGGTGGAGGAACGATGTCTAACCTTCAGATTGTCGCGCGTCGCTGCCCGGTCATGTCAAAGGCGCTTGCCGTCCAGTCGGTTCGCAACTCCGCCTTCTCTCCTTCCCTCGGCTTGAGGCCGTCGGGGTTGGCTCGCGCAGGCGGTTTGCCGGTTGGTCAGAGGAGATCTTATGTTGTGCCCAGCAAGCCTACCAATATTCAAGCGTCTATTCCAAAGGCTGCGGATGCTGCCAATGTTGAGTCTCTCCATATTCAGGCCGGTGTCTTTGATACTTCTAAGGGTATGGTTACCAGGTGGGGGGGTTGGGATTACGTTGTGAGTTTGGAATTTTGAAGGGCTGATGGAAGTCATTTTAATTTTAGGCATTTGTCCTCATGGAGCTGCTGCGTTGAGAGCTGCTAGGGTAGCAGAGGGCATGGCTCCCCGGGCGACGGCTCGTGTTACTCGTCCGGTCAATGTGGTTCCCGCGGCTCACCATTCCGGAAAGTTTGATTATGAGGCTTTCTACGGTGCCGAACTCGAGAAGAAACACAAGGACAAGAGCTACCGCTATTTCAACAACATCAACCGTTTGGCGAAGCAATTTCCTCAGGCCCATTTGGAGACCCCTGATAAACTTGTCACTGCTTGGTGCTCCAATGACTACGTGGGTCATCCTTGATGCTTTTACCCAGGCCTTTTTTCTTACAATGTTTGTAGTTGGGCATGGGACGCAATCCCGAAGTCATTAAGACCATGCACGAGACTCTTGACATGTACGGTGCCGGAGCTGGCGGGACCAGGAATATTTCGGGTCATAATCAACACGCAATTGCTCTTGAAGCGAGCATTGCCAAACTGCACGCCAAACCGGCAGCCCTTGTTTTTTCGTCTTGTTATGTGGCGAACGATGCGACTTTAGCAACCCTCGGATCGAAACTCCCGAATTGCGTGATTCTGTCCGATTCCCTCAATCACGCATCAATGATCCAAGGAATCCGTCACTCTGGTGCCAAGAAGATTGTCTTCAAACACAACGATCTTGTCGACCTCGAGGCAAAACTCGCATCCCTTCCCTCGCATGTTCCGAAAATCATTGCTTTTGAATCCGTGTACTCCATGTGTGGATCCGTTGGGCCGATTGAGGAGATTTGTGATTTGGCCGAGAGGTATGGTGCTATTACCTTTCTGGATGAGGTCCATGCTGTCGGTATGTACGGGCCACATGGTGCTGGTGTTGCGGAGCATCTTGACTTTGGGGCCCACCGTGCTGGAAAGCCTAAGGGAACTATCATGGACCGCATCGACATTATCACTGGCACTCTCGGGAAGGCGTATGGTTGTGTTGGCGGATACATTGCAGGCTCGGCAAAGATGGTTGATGCCGTTCGTTCGCTTGCTCCCGGTTTCATATTCACCACTTCTCTTCCTCCGGCAACCATGGCTGGTGCAAGGGCCGCAATTGAATACCAGGCCAACTACGACGGCGACCGCATCCTCCAACAACTCCACACCCGTGCCGTTAAGGATTCCCTGGAAGCTAGAGACATACCTGTAATCCCTAATCCCTCTCACATTGTCCCGATCCTCGTCGGCGACGCGGAAATTGCTAGAGCTGCTAGCGACTCTCTCTTGGAAGACCACGGCATCCACGTTCAAGCCATAAACTACCCTACTGTTCCGGTCGGTCAGGAGCGTCTCCGCATCACCCCGACTCCCGGCCACACCCAGAACTACCGCGATCATCTCATTGGCGCTCTCGAGTCGGTCTGGAGCACACTTGGAATCAAGCGTACCAGTGATTGGAGAGCCGAAGGCGGCCTTTGCGGCGTTGGCATTGACGGCATGAAACCGCAAAACATCTGGTCGGATGAACAACTCGGCATTTCTGGTGGCGGCGCCATCACCTCGACCGCCAACATGAAGACGGGAGGAAATATTGCGATCGGTGACATTCTCAAGGGGAAGGTGGGTCGGCTGGTTTCTACCGTTGCTTAGGGTTCCTATTTACTGCGTCTGTGGAGGTATTGTGATGGTGAGGGGTAGTTTAGTTGGCAGCCATTTATTTCTTGATTTCCCCACTGCAGGGGCAATAAATTTTATACATGGCGATCAAATAATATTGTATTAGCGTAGCTACTCGTTTATACCCCGGCCAGGGTTTCTCATACAATGGTAGCAAAAACCTTTTGAGTATTAGAATTAATACTTTGGTGGTCCGTTTTACTCGAGCAGACATTGTTTCCTGGTATCTGCGCCAATCGCCAGGATCAGACGAAAAAAGTTCGAGATGGGGAGGGGACGTAAATAACGACGAAGGTGATTCGTGCCCAGGATCCCTTCTGCGAAATCTTGGCTGCCAAATAAATTAATTTGTGTCGGAAACGAGTGTTGCCTGACTCAGTCTTATTTTTCCCGCGTGGGCGCCATAGGAAATGAAGTCTGCTAGTTAGTGATCGAATATCATAGTACTGGACGTTGCTGCCCTCGAGTATTCAGTACGAGTACAGTACTCGGGTATCGTAAAAAAAGAAAAAGAAAAAGAAACCGTGGTATCATACATTGAATTGCAATTGTAAAATGCAATCCAGGAAACTCGTATATTACTATAGAATTTGACAACGGGTAATGCTACTTGCAAATACCCTCGTCACAGGAGTTCATGTTGCAGAAAGCGCGGGCAATGTCAAGTTTCCATACAAACCAGCAGATTTTAGAGTACTATTAGACGAAAGACTTGATTAAATGAGGGTTCAAACAAATGGGGAGGATTGCCCGTGTGCGTGCGCGGGGGGGACACTGGTGATGGGGTCAAATTGGATCCAACTATTTCTCTCCCGCAATGCCGGGGGCCAATTAATCGTTGTATTTGGGAGCCCAAGTTGGGATTTAATTTAATTTGTATCATACGCCGTGTGCGACCCAACCCCGCTCCAGGAGGTTTTGGCGAGATCTAAAGTGTTTTTTTGTGTGCCGGTCTGGGTAAGTTTGCTGGAAGGTACCGTACTCCACCGTACCATACGAGTAAATTACTGCGTTGTGCTGAGTTAGATTGTGTGATGCTGCGGTGTAGACTTGATGTTCGATTCCTAAGCTTGGATGAGTGGCTGTCTGCCTGGGATATAATATAGCTGGGGAAAGAGCTGTGATAAGTTCCGGTAGGTTATATAGACTACCTGCTTGGAGATACCGTAGTAGAGCTCAAGTGTAGTAGTAGCGTGAAGCAGAATCGAGTCCGTCTTTGCCCCTGTCCGTGCTGTACTGTACAGTACAGTACTAATCATGGTTTCGTTTCTTTTTGACGTAAAGTGTAAGAATGTCATCCGCGACGGCCGTTTCTCCCTCAGCGGTTGGGCAAAGATCTACTCCGCTGTGGCTCGGTATGTCAGTCTAGTTTCGCGGTAGATCTTGGGATCCTGGGTTATACTAGGCTCTAATGGTGAAATATTTGTCGGGGGTGTTCGGCGGTTTTTCGGATTGCTTCTGAAGTTTGCTGTGGAGCGGTATTTGGTTTTGAAAAATTTGCCTGGGTATTGGAATGATGGTGGATTATGGTAGATGTAGCGCTGATTATCTTCACAGAACATGCGCAGGGCTGGGGGAGGAGGTTCCCGGCTTGAATCCATATCACGAAGAAATATGCTGTGGCACTTTTTGTTAGGTGGTACTGTATGTTAGGTTATTTGGCTGAATTAATTATGGGGCTTGATGTACTGTAAGTTACTTGTATTAGTACTTTAAATGCCCGGCGAGCTGATTACACCGTAGGGGGGAATGATTGGGCATCGAGAGTATGAATGTCATTGAGGTTCCACAAACGACCCCGCTTTTCTTCAGCCCCTGAGGAATTCCGGTCGTCGACTGCCCTCCATCATCCATCATTCACTATCCACCATCCACGATATCTTGAGCAGAAAAATACTGGAAATGTCGCAATCTTTTAGCGGTAACATCAACTCCCTGAACACGGTGACGACGGTTAACGTATCGAGTAACATTACCGTTGCCGATGACCGATCTAATATACTAGCCTGGCTATCCCCGCTGGAACCCAGGTTACGGCATCAGGACATCCGAGAGCGCCGGGTCGGGAATGTAGGGGAATGGTTGTTGAAAAGTGAGGAATATAGAAGCTGGTACGAGGATAGTGGGGGGAGCGAAGCGGATAACGCGGTTTTGTTTTGCTATGGGAATCCAGGGGTGGGGAAAACATATATTAGGTAACAAGGACTAACCTTTGGGAATGGAAGAAAAATGGCAACTGCTGACAAGCCGCGATGTTAGCTCATTGGTGGTGGACAGTTTGTGTGATCAGGCTGGGGGACGAAATGTCGCCGTGGCGTGTTTTTACTGTGACTTTGCGGCCCAAAAGGAACAGTCATCGACGAACATGCTGGGTTCCTTGCTCAAACAGGTTGTGAGCGGAATGGGAGCGGTGCCGGTGGGAATAGCGCAAGCGTATGAAGACCAGAAAAAGGTCATTGGTGGACGGGGACCGCAGCTTGCCGATATTGTGAAGATGCTGCAAACAACCTCTTCCGAAAAGCATACATTCATATGCATTGATGCTATAGATGAATGTGCGGAGGGATATCGGGTCAAGCTTCTCGATTCTCTTAATCAAGTTGTGCGAAAATCTCCCGGCACTCGAATATTCGTGACTGGAAGACCGCACATTCGACCTGAGATTGGAAGGCGTCTTGCGGGGAGAATGACGAGTGTATCAGTAAGTCCCAAGAGAGATGACATTGTTAGATATATTCATTCAAGGCTGGGAGAGGACATGAACCCAGAAGCGATGGACAGTAGTCTGGAGGCGGATATGATGAAGAAAATTCCTGAAGATATTTCTGGGATGTACGTGGAAGCAAGGACACTGTGAAAGCTACCTCTAGATATCCACTGACAGATAGATATCTAGATTCCTTCTGGTTTCGCTGAATATCGATGCGATCCTGCAGGAAACCACAATCCGTCGCAGGCGGCAAAAGCTCAACGCAATGACCGATGGCTTGGGATTAGGGGATGTGTATGGTGCAACGTTGGATCGGGTAAAGGGACAGAGTGGTGAGAAATCTCGGCTCGGAATGGCGACTTTGATGTGGATCTCCCACTCGGAGCGGCCCTTAAAGCCCGATGAACTATGTCACGCACTCGCAGTGGAAATAGGGTCGCCAAATCTTGATGCCGAAAATATCCCTTCAATCGGGATAATGATCGCCTGTTGCCAAGGACTTGCTGTCGTTGACAAAGAGTCTAACACTGTCCGGTTAATCCACTTTACACTTCAAGAGTACCTCCGGGCTCATCCAGAACTTTTTGGTTCAGCTCACTCGACAATTGCAGAAACCTGCCTAAGTTATCTGAGCTCACAGCAGGTTAAGGCTCTTTCGGCCAGTCCATCTCCTGATATCCAAAGCACACCCTTCCTTGAATATTCATCTCTATATTGGGGAACCCACGCAAAAAGGGACCTTTCGGATTGCGCGAAATTTCTTGCGCTGAAGCTATTTGGCGACTACAGTAATCACATACCCACTGAGATCTTCTTGCGTGCACAGGAGCCGTTCTTGTACCCTTGTAAATACAATCAGCCTTCCCTGTTCACGAGCCTACACTGTGCATCCGCCTTCGGGATTGTTGAGATTGTAGCTGCTTTGGTAGAGGCGGATGGTTCTTGTATTAACCAGGGAGACTGGATGGGTAATACACCCCTCATGTGGGCTGCTCGGAATGGACACGAGGAAGTGGTGAAAATACTACTCGGGCAGGGCGGCGCCAACGCCGACAAACTAAATTGGTACGGCCGGACACCGCTCTGCTGTGCTGCTGAGTATGGGCACGAGGGAGTGGCGAAAATACTGCTCGGGCGGGACGACGTCAACCCCAACGGTCCGAGAGTATTATGGGCCAGGTAATATATAAATTCAGAGTGTGCATGAGGGAGTAGTGAAAATACTGCTCGGGCGGGACGACGTCAACCCCAACGGGGTGGATGGGGATGGCCCGACACCACTATGCTATGCTGCTTGGAATGGGCACGAGGGAGTGGTGAAAATACTACTTGGACGGGACGATGTCAACCCCGAAAAAGTAGATGATGGTAGTACACCACTCACCTGTGCCGCTTGGAATGGGCACGAGGGAGTGGTGAAAATACTGCTCGGGCGGGACGACGTCAACCCCGACAAACCAGACAATGGCGGCAAAACACCACTCCAGTTGGCTACTGCGCGTGGCCATGCGGGGGTCGTAGCACTACTACAGCCAGCATCTGCTGGCCCCAGAACTACCTAGAGCCGTGGAGGCACCGCCCTCATGGCCCCTTCGAATACGGATAACTTATGTTCCATTTCCGCGAGGAGTCCAAGATCCCCATAAATATCTCTCTCGCCATTATTGTCTCCCCCCCATTCTCGACCAACCTCCTCCTGTTGATCCAAATTCTGCCTTGTAGTTGTTTTCTTTTCCTTCGGGACTAACCCTGCCAGGGGGGCTCAGCTCAAATACCTCCTTCTTGTTGCAGGAAATCCCACGCAATGGAAGTGCAAATGTCTGCCACATACCCACCAAAACCTTTAGAGAGATTATGTTACCGGTGTGTGGTGAGTTGGGGTTTGTCGGTTTCTATTTGTATGATAGTTTGGAGTTTGTTGCTGATGGGGAGCCATTTCTATTACGCTGAGATAAGCTCGTGCGGTTCAAAATTTCCATCAAACGTAATTTTATTCTTTTCTAGTTGTAAATCCTCTTTGCATATTTGCCTATTTATTTTTTCTAAGATTCATTTTTTCTCCTTTCCTACTCTTTAATGTATAGACCCAGGGATTGTTAAGAAATGGGGAAAAAAGTATGGAGTGGAAGCGTTTCTAGCACCCATGAAAGGTGGCCTTGAAACCAGCTATTAATGAAGGCATTGGAGTGGCTAGTTTCCACAATGGGCACGGCTTGACAAAGACTAGTATGCTACTGCCCCTCCAGGTGTGAGCTTAAAGGTGAGGCTAGGAGGCTGTCCACATCTTTTAGCCTTGCTAACCATGGAGCACGCATATAGCCAATCGTATTTTTTAACAGTGAAATTTGTTGGATTCAACGAGAGGCAGCTAATGAGTTGTAGTCG